TTCCCTACTCTGTAAGTAAGCATCAGAAAACACTGACCTCTGGCTCAGCACAACCAGTGGCTGAATCAAAAGGAAAACATTGAGTTTGACACAGGACATTTGACACTTTGCATAGCATGTGGGATCTCTGGAGTATCATGACAGCCTCTTTCTCTCATAACTCACAAGAGCTAGGATCTCCCTGCTCAAGGAAAGACAATGTTCCAGGGTGCAGCAGGCCTTCTAGGGCACTCCTGGGAAAGCAGATCCTTTTGTGGTCAAAGCTTTGCAGCAATCAAGGCACACAGCATTCTGTTTTCACTAGGAGGTGTATCACACAGAACTCTTTCACCCTGTTCCCAAGTGAATAGACTGGGGAAAGAAACACCTAGGAGTTTTCCTGGGCTGCAATAAAAATGTGTCATCAGTGGAGATGTAGTAACAGGATTCTTCCTATATTTAGCTGGTATGTTTTGAAATTCACTTAAGGGACCTAACATAAGCAAAGACCCAAGGAGATGAAACCATCTAAATCACTCAGCAGTCTGTTGTCTGCCATCACTTTTACACTTAAAAACAGACAACTGATTTTCTCAGGGGAGTTTCTTTCATCTATCAGCTCATATGACCAGTCAGGCTTCTGGCTGAGGTACACAAGTGTTTATTGTGTGATACACAAGTGTTTATTGTGCAACCACAGTAGTGCATCTTGCTACATTGCTGTGAAAAGTTGAATCTCTCTTCCAGTGTAGCTTCTGTGTGGCTTAGGAACTTGCTGTTTGAATATAGGCGAGTGGTTCTCATGAATACAAGGTGCAGTGATCAAACCCAGATGTTAGTGGATGTAAATATGTATGTATTTAAAAAAAAATAATGAGCAGCTCAATTATTTCTGCATGTCTTGCCGAGGAAGTGATGGGAATACCAGGAGCCTCTGCTATACTGCTGATAGTTAGCAGTACCTGTGGTTACTGAAAGGCCAGTTTTGTTTATCTGGGTTTGCACGCATTTGAGAACTGCTTAGTCTGTATGAACTGTTCCATTCCCTTTCTACCATGCAGAAATTATATAGTGAAACAGCACCACAAAAATGACTCCTCTTTGATTCTGACAAGGTGATTGAGGGCAGTCAGAGGACTGAAGCCTAAATTCGACCTCTGAAGTGCTCCTTCCAAAGTCTGCACATGGGATAAAGTCCTCCCTAAAGGGATTTTTTTTTTTTCTTAATAAAGACAAAGCTGTGTTCACAGACTGAACTGCTCTTTTTTGCCCAACCAGCTCTCCAACACTTTTACCCTTAAAATGATTTCTCAATGCCCACCCTGTATTTCTTTTACTGGGATTTAAACCTATTGCTCCATGATCTATCTACCACAGATATCAAGCTATAGATATAATTTATTCTTTGCATGCTACTAACCATTTTTCTAGTGCTCCTGAGCTGTGACACTGAGATACAGCACAGTATTCCCATCTGTGTTATTGGAAGTTACACTAGTGTTAAAGCTGGGGCAAATGCTTCCCTAATCCTACCTGAGATTTCACAAAAGACTCATTTGCCCTCCCAGTGTTCAGCAGGTTACCCAAGAAACAAGGACTAGAACAGAGTCAGAGGGAGGGTGGCATGCCCCAGGCTGTATAGTTTCTATTTCTGGCTCTGTAAGATTGTCCAGTTACTGTTCTCTTGCAGACACATGACCAATGATCTGGAGCTTGCTGTATTCAAGAGCCAGTCTTTTCATTATTTTGTAACCCCATAATCTTCTTCCTGTTTCATAGCACTATCATAACAACTTTTACTGATTATGTTGTTAAAATCCACCGTTGTGTCAGGAAATGGTTCCTCTGAGAGACCATTTTTGAAATATCCTCATTGGCAATCAGACACCTGTTGCAGACCTAGCTTTTTGTCTATGAACACATGCCATTTTCATCTGCTCTGTTTCCTTAATCCAAGCAGGGTGTTGGACCAAGGCAACAAGTGATATGCCATCTGTGTTATTACCTTTATCAATTAAATACATAGAATCATAGAGTCATAGAATCATAGAACCATAGCCTGGCTTGGGTTGAAAGGAATCTTAAAGATGATGTAGTACAACCTCCCTGCAGTGAGCAGGGACATCTTTCACTAGATCAGTTTGCACAAACCCCTGACCACCCTGACACTGAACACTTCCAATGATGGAACATCCACAACTTCTCTGGACAACCTGTTCCAGTGTCTTGCCACCCTTATAATAAAAAATTTATTTGCATATACAAACTAAATCTACTTCTTTTTGGTTTAGAATCATAGAATCATTAAGGTTGGAAAAGATGTCCAAGATCATAAAGTCCAACCATCAGCCCAACATTACCATGACCACTAAACCATGTCCTGAAGTACACATTTTTTGAAAGCTTCCGGGGATGGTGGCTCTGTCATCTCCCTGGGCAGTCTATTCCAATGTCTCACCACTTTTTCAGTAAAGAAATTCCTCCTAATACTCAATCTAAACCCTCCCTGGCACAACTTAAGCCTATATCCTCTTGTCTTATTGCTAGCTACTTGGGAGAAGATACCAACACCCACCTCACTACAACCTACTTTGAAAAGAGAGTTTAAAACTGTCACAAATAATCTCATCATAAAAAAGAGGAGTTTGACATTTATTTCCATAAATCAGTGTCGATAAGCATTAAGTGTGTTACCCTTTTTTTAATTCTTCATCGACAGACATTCGTGTTGGTTTTATCACTGTTTTGCCAAAAATCAATGTTTGGCTGACAGGCCAGTCATTATCTGGTTGTCCTCTCTACCCTTTAAATACTGACACAACATCAGATTTCTTCAAGGTCCCTGGAATTTCTCTTGTTCTCCAGGACTGATTAAATATCAACACTGATGACCCAAAGTGGTTCTCAATTAGCTTAAGAACTATTGGAGGTAAGTCACCTAGATGTCTGGATTTAAAAGTATCTGTCTGTAGCAGCTACTCTTCAACATTGTCCTTACAGAAAGTTTTTCACCATCATCATGAGATACTACCATCCTACCTGACACATTTCCAAGAATAGAGCAGAAATAATGACTGAGCATCTTTGCCATTTCTGCATTATCCTTGAGAGTCCCCCTGTTTCTATAAAGTAACAGATCAATATAATAGTTCACTTTTTTTGTTTGTTTGTTATTAGTGGACTTCTGTTGAGGTTCTGATGATCCTTAATTTTTGTGACCAAAGCTCTGGACTGTATCCTTCTGCTTCAGGTATTGGGTTTTTTTTTTTATATTTTCTTGTTTCTAATGCTTATTCATCCAGCGTGCTTCATTTTCTGTCACACATAGGCATGCACGCATGCAGGCATATAATTCCATCTATTCATTTAAACTGTTTCTTCACAGCAATCATACCTTTGTTTCTTAATTGGAGGACACAAACTTTTTCACAGTTATGACGTTTCACTTGGTTACCCAACACTTGTGCACATTTTTTTCCCCAGTCAAATTATCTCTCTGAGGTGATTTGACTTACAATGCTTTTAGCTTTGTGGAAACTTATTTCAAAGTAGCAAGAGCATATATGAATTCTCAGCACTCTATTTTGCTTATTGTAAGCAATATCAATCAAAATCCTGACAACTTGTAACTCCTACCTAAGTTACTGTTAATTTCTAGCTCTGTGGCAAGTTTATCAGCCAAGATGAGGTCAAACACAGAATTTCCTTTGTTGTGTGTAACACTGTTGGAATTGAGAACTTATCATCTGCAATTCATACACAAGGGGCTTTTCACTTCTTTCATGTACATCTCAGGCTGATGTTTCCCATGATAACTCTTTTTTATTTTTTCCCCCTACAAATTATAAATATTTTTTTAAACTGCTCTTTCATGTGATTTGCTGTTCTGTTAGGAGCACTGGCTAGTATCCCAGCTTGTGCTTTATACCACTGGAAATGCACTGTGGGTGCACTGATATTGCTAATGGGCACATTAGAGCCATGCTGTTCCAATTCTCCGTGTCACCTATCAGGCAGTACCATCATGTTTAGACAATAGTCCCAGGCATGTGATAGTCAATAAACTGCTCTGTGTTGACCCTTGAATGTTAGAGTGGGATATGTGCACAGAAGCACACTGATGACTCTGGCATTATGGCAAGTACAGAAACTGCCTCATGCAAAGCTCATCACAACAGTGCCTGGCTGTGCAGCAAACACACCAAATTTCAATACACAGTAGTATGTATATTTTAATGTAGCAGATTGTATATACAGTAAACATTTGGGGTTGAATTCGACCTCAGTCAGCAAGACTACATTGCAGCTGGGAGGAACTTGATTGGTTTCTGTGCACTGAAATTACAGTCAGGGCATATCAAAATCCAGAACAGTAAGAAAACATTTTCATTTTGGCAGTGATTTTCCCTTTTTTTTTGAGACCATGTAGAAGATGGATGTGGATGACAGTTTGTACTGGATGTACATTAGTCTATAAAAGGTTGATAAATGATTAATAAATATTTTCATAAATGGCCACTGTGTCACTACAGAGTCCAACAGGTTGCTCAGAACCATGTGCAACTCCTGTTTGTTATGCATTTAGTATGTTTAGGGCTCCTGTCAACCCTTTGATTAATCCCATTTGGTAAGTCCCAGCTGGGTGACAAATATTTTTTCCCTATTTGTAAAAGGAGAGTGGTGATACTGCCCTCTTCTGCAAGGTAACAGAGAGGTCATGTATTTCATTAGTGTTGTCAACCAGGCATAAACTATTAAGAATGAACTCTAAATAAAGAATTGGTGCAGTCAGCATAGCATTTTGGAGACATAATGTACCTGAACTCTGGCTTCTGGGAGGTTTATCTTTGCTGCCAGTTGATTACGAATATGGACATCCGGGTAGTGAGTCACTTGGAAAATCTTCTCCAGTTCCTGGAGCTGCTCAGCTGTGAATGTTGTCCGGATTCTCCGTTTCCCTTTCCTCTCAACTGTGCAAACAAGGAAAGGTGTATCACATTTTATAGGAAAAGTCCACAGGGCCAAAAGAAGATTCAGAGATCTAGCAATTTCTGCAAATTTCTGTGCAGCTGGGATGGCACCTCCAACACTTTCTGTAGATGTACTTACCAGAGGTGACTCTCTCCTGATCCAGCAGTGAATGTGAATACACTCCTATATCATACAAGGAATGAGTCAAAAGTGCCCATTTGTATTGCTAATTCTATGGATCCACTGCATGTCAACAGCTACGAAACTATGTATTTTAACCACACTAGCCGTGCAAGGGGTTTGTCATCAAAGTCCTTTAGTGTTGGACCAACCTTTGACCCCTTTTTGCTCCTGTCACATGCACACATCCGTTGCTAATTTATAATCCCTTATTAACTCTCTGTGAAGAAACCCTTAATGCAAACAGAATGAAAGAGCAGATACTGCATTTTGTCTAGGTGCCTTACAGAGAAAAGTAATGGTATTATCCCGACCACACCACTGTGACTAAAAGACGTTCTAAGAAAGTTTAACCTTAAGAATGACAAGGCCTTAAAACCCATGGAGCAGCATATGGGGAACGTTGTGTGCTTTGAATTCCTAAGGGGACTCAGACTGCTCCATTCCTTCACCTGCTGTGGTGTTACCACACTAAGGAATTCCCTCAGCACTCCTACACTGTTTTGAAAATACCCTACTACATCAGGATATTTTATTTAGATTGTGAACTCTGTGGGCCTCTTAGTGCAAGTTCAAATAAGGCCTAGGTTGATCTGAAATGATGCTAAAGGTCTTGCAAGGGGTCTGATGTCTTGCAAGGAGGAGGAGAAAGGAACACCAGAAGTGAGCTCTAAGGCACTTGATTTGCAGAACGTAGGGTTCAGTCTTGTCCCAAGTCTGGAATCCTTTGATGCACAAATGGAATATCTTCCAGCTGACACTGAATGACCAGTGCACAAAGCCATGCCTTGGGCATTGTGAGTCACTGTGTGTTTTCTACTGAGCTTGGAAACAGCAGCCTGATAGGAGCATAAACATTCTAATAGCACCAGTGACTGTGATGAGCTTGCTACTCAATGACCTGCAGTAACTGGCAGTGACACTATGTTGTTTGAGAAAATGACCTTTTTGTATAATTGCTCTTCCATGGTCTGATGAATACTACCAATTCACACTATGTAACTAGATGCATACACTTCCTAATGGGAGCAGTTAACCAGAGAAGGTTAGCTTAGTCCTTTCAATAGGCTCTGTACTTTCCCCCCCCACACCTTTTCTTCAACCTTTAGCAAAAATGTTTCCTTTTGAGGGCTAACGATGTGGAAAAGGTAACTAAACACCTTGGTCAATATAAGTTTGGCTCTCTGCCAACCAGAAAATGACATTTTTCATACTGTAATCAAAACTTCATTGTGACTCTGTTGACACAGAAAATAAGGAAGAAAACAGTCTGTCCATGGATTTGATATGAAGGTGCCTACAACACAATGCCTGGGGACCAGTAATTTAATATATTACATTGTGAATATTTCATCTTTTCTGAACCTTTTGGGTACTTTGAAAGGAAACCAGTCTTGTAAGAATAACAGAGGAGCATCATTTATCATAAACACTGTCAATACTCCCAGATCTCAGAAACAACCTAATAAAGCTGATGTCCAACACAGTTAAATCCACATCATTAGACTTGTCACTGGCCTATCAAAGTACTAATTATTAGACTGTAGTGCTGGCTTCAGCCCCAAGAGAAAAACATTATTTAAATTGAATCTAGCTGGCATTACTCGGGCAGAGATGTGAAATGAGAAATAACTGTGCTTTTATGCTGAAGATAGCATTAAGAATCCCTAATTAAAAAGTTGTACCTACCTGAACCTTCCCAAAAGATAGCTGTAAGGGAGGGTTATTGTTGTATGAACTAAAAGGGAAATATCAGTACTGTGAATATTACTCTCAGAATACCACGTTCCCTGTAGCTATGATAGAGCTAACAGTTCATAATGGTGTCTCTTGTCTGGAAGATTTTCACCTCACACTTCTCCATAGAGGCCTACTTTCCCATATCCTCCTGGGAGATACTGAGGACAGCTAAGATTGAGTACCAAGTTGATATTTTGTCAAGCAGATCATGTTCTGTCCTACAGTAATGAATGTCTCCACTGTATTTGTATCATTGCAACATATGGTATTTACATTTCTCTAGCAGAGAGCAATTCATATAGCAGATCCTGACAATTGATGTTTGCTCTGACCTTGTCATTGTCTCAGACATTTGAGGCCTCCCTGAGATATCCTGTACATCTCCCTGAAGACTGAGCTGAGCTCCTCCCTCTATTCAGTGTAGAAGACTGGATCCACAAATCTGGGAGAAGCTGCAGTCTACCTCCAGCATTTCCAGAATAGACTAAGAGAACCAAGCTCAAACTATGAACACCTCTTTGGTTCTGTGGCCCCAGTCATACATAAACATCAGGGATGCTGGCAGTGTTCTTGTCCTGCCAGGTTTTGTATTCCCAGGCAGTCTGTGTACTTTCTAACAAACAATCAGAAAGCCTTCAGAAGAAAAAAAAAAAAAACAACTGTCTACCTCCTGGAAGACTTCTGAATTAGAAAAAAAATCCCAGTGTACTTTTTTAAAAAAATGCATTAGATTAATAATATGAAATATCATTTCATTACTATGCAAAGCAAGAAAGAAACTGTATACATATTAAAACCCAAGATGTCACATCAAATAATTTAAAAAAGGGTATATTTTATTACTCCATCAGTACAGGGGTGGTGAGATTCTAGAATAGATTGCCCAGAGAGATTGTGGATGCCCCTCCCTGGAGGTGTTCAGGGCCAGATTGGATGAGGCTTCAAGCAACCCAGTCTAGTTGAGAGGCAGCCCTGCCCATGGCAGGGAGGTTGGATTAGATGATCTCTAGGGTCCCTTACAACCTAAATCATTCTATGATTCTGTGAATACAGCAAATAATGATTCAATCCAGTATAAACCCTTCTGTCTCATACATTAACCAGACTCTACAAAACTGGGATGACTGAACAGGACCAGGATGGGCTTGAAGTGAATGCCAGAGACCAGCTGAACCAGATCTCAGCACAGTGGGCACCACACAGACAGAAATCATTAGTTCTTGCCTGTCAGCGCATGTGATACAACAGCTATCGTCTCCTATTCATAACGGGGAATCAAAGCTAAGGCAAGACTTAGAGTGCCTACACCAGAGACTGCTACTTGAGCTAGAAAGGAGTGTTTTACATCATTAGATCATGACAGCTGCAGGACTTCTCCATAGAAAGCATTTTTCATACACACCAGAGACGGAGATCATAATGTGGATATCTATTCTTGGCTGCCAGCTGAAGAGGTTGTTGGTGCTGACAGGACACTTGGTACAGAGTTTATTGAATTAACATAGATAGACTCAAGAAATCAGTTGTTACAAGCAATGCAATACCATTTCTACAGGGCTAAGGTGTGGAACAAACTCAGCAGTGAATATTATGAGCCTTGAAGGAGCTGTAAAATCTACCCTACAAAGAATATACAAGAATTAGAAGACAAAGGCTGTGTGCAGCTGGTATAAGTTTGGGAAGAAACTTTTAGTTAAGCTGGGACTTCTTAAATTACCTGAAAGTTGAATTCATTGCCTTAAACAACACACTATTTTATACTGTGTTAGAGATGGAATAGGGAATGGGTCTGCCAGATAATCTCTTACTGTTTTCTGTTCCACTGGCAGCTGAGAAGTGTCCAAAACTACACAGCATGGCTTCACAGAGGAAAGACTCATGTGTTTCTGATGTCTCCTTTCAGCTTCCTTGGTATGAAAATGACACAGGTAACTTGGTCATGGGCAAAAGAAATTCCCTACCAGTTCACCCTTACGTCCTTCACATTTTTTGCTCTTGAAAAGTGAACTGTTTTACAGATTAGACTCTTATGTAAAGGTAGGGTCTACAGAGAGCTCGAAAGTCTCAGTCCTACTGAAACCAGATTTTTCAACACTGAAACTCGTCAGATTAAGCGAAATACAATAACATGAGGTCAGCTATGGGCCAGTAGGGACTGAAGGACAGGTTTTGATTTCATCTGGAAATGAAATTTAAACTGCTAAAGAAATAATTTCCTGTGAACTAATCAAGTCCTTTGCCAGTAGGACATCTAGAAGAGCGCTTTGTTTTGTTTTTTTTTTTTTTTTGCGAACAGATCAGTCATTCTATTTTTATTTCTTTTTTTGAAAAAGCACCTATTAAAAAATAAAATAAAAAAACCTGTGACTCTATGTTAACATTTTCTCTTGCAAGATGAAACTTTCTCTGACTGTAGCTTTGATACATCCCTTTGCCTTGGGACCTTAGCTTAGAGATCCCATAGCAAACAACAGCATTCAGAATTACAGTTTAATAAAGAATGTCGGTGGAAGATATAAGACTAGGAACTGTTGGAAGTGTAACATTGGCTTACAAACGTGGCTCTAGAGTCTCTGGGGAAATAAGACTTTGTCTGAGTTTCCTGAGCTATTTTCTATGTAAAAGCTGGGGATATTCAAGTGTGCTTTTATGCTCTGTGAAAGTCACTTGCAGGTTAGCTGACTGCTGAAACCAAGCCTGAATATACCAGGCAGCTAAATATGTCAGCATTTGCAGATGCTTAGATATACAGCTGTCTATACATTGCCTTAATGTTGACATTGGAAGGGCCAGATTCTTCATGCTGATAAAGCCGTATAGCTCCTTTAAATTCAGTTGCAAGCGCCATTTTTCCTCTGCAGATCTGGCTTTATTACTAGGTCAACTTGGAGCAAGTTGAAGCATGTGAACTTTGCAGAAGCACAGAAATACAGAGTCTTCTTGAAGGTGTGCAATGAAAGGATGAGATCAGTGGGTACAAGTAGCAGCAAGGAAAATTCTGATTACATAATAGGAAAAAATGTTTATACCTCAAAGGTCTGATGTAGGTCTGGAGAGGCTGAAAAGTCTCAGTCCTTGG